ATTCTGGTGAATTATCAAACCTGAGGGAATGAGTGGGGGACCCTGAAAGGCTGATCAGAGTAAGGATAGCCCTAGGGATCCCCAAAGTAAGGCTGGTATTTTGGGAAGGACTGTGCCTTTAACATGTGAAGTCTGACCCAATTCTAGAAGTGAAAAAGCATTCCATAAAATTAAACATCTGTTCCTGATTTGTAATTAATCTTAACTGTCAATCTTTACTAAAATACTAGGGATGTAAAAATATGTTGTTAACATGCTAAAGAATACATAAGTAGTACTCACTTTGGCAGCACCTATACTAAAGAACATATAAGCAAAATCAACATGCAACATATTAATGAAGACATTCTGAACAGAAACAAAACAGGATGACCACTCTTACTGTTAACACTGCTCTGAATATGTAGACTAATTCTATGAAAGTAAATAAAACATATGGTAAAAGACCCACTTTTCATTACACTAACAATTCAGCTGTATAATTAGAAAATCTGAGAGAAGCACTGAGAACTATTAGAAAAAATGAGAGTTTAGAAAATGGCTGGTTATGACAGTTTTAATACAAACTAAAATCTTGCAAAAATAACAGCAAATACTAGTTAAAAATACATAAGCAAACAAAAAGCCTCATACCTAAAGCAGCAACAACAAAAATAAAAAGAAACTATTTTCCTTTAACATGGAACTTCCCTGATAGCTCAGTTGGTAAAGAACCCGCCTGCAATGCAGGAGACCCTGGTTCGATTCCTGGGTCAGGAAGATCCGCTGGAGAAGAGATAGGCTACCCATTCCAGTAGTTTTGGGCTTTCCTTGTGGCTCAGTTGGTAAAGAATCCGCCTGCAATGCAGGAGACCTGGGTTCGATCCCTGGGTTAGGAAGATCCCCTGGAGAAGGGAAAGGCTACCCACTCCAGTATTCTGGCCTGGAGAATTCTATGGACTGTACAGTTCATGGGGTCGCTAAGAGTTGGACATGGCTGAGCAACTTTCACTTTCAAGCATCCTCTGATGGATGACATACATAAATAAAATGTGTTCTATATACACAGTTACTATTCACCCTCAAAAAGGAAAGAAATACTGGCACATGCTATAAATGGATAAATCCTGAAGACATTATGCTAACTGATATACAGTATGATTCTATTTATATGAAGTAGCTATAGTAGTCAAATTCATACAGTCAGAACGCAGAATGGGAGTTGTTTGGGGCTTGGGATAGAAGGAAGTAGAGAGTTACTGATTTAAGGGTACAGAGTTTCAATTTGGAAAAATGAAAAAAGCTCTGGAGATGGATGATGGTGATGGAAGACTGGTAATGTGAATGCACTTAATATCACTGAACTATATACTTAAACATGTTAGATGGTAAATTTTATGTGTATCCTACCACAATGGGAAAAAAATGAGCTTAACAAGATCTAAGCAAGCTTTGTAAGGAAAAAATAAATTCCTACAAAGCTTTACAAAAAGATATAACAGAAGACTTGACTAAAAGGAAAAAAATATCAATTTTCTCTCTATTCCCTCCAAATATATATCTATATTTTGGAGTGGGGTATGGGGAGTTCCAGTCCAAATTTCAATTTTTTTTGGTCTTTGATTATGATAAAATATTCTAAATTATTTTCAAAGAGTAAAGCAAGTAAGAACACCTAAGAGAAAATGCTGAAAAAAACAGAGTAATCGAGGAATACTTGTCCTGCTCAATGTTACTGCATATTAAATAGCTACAGTAATTAAAGAAATATGGCACTGATATGAAAATAACCAGACAAATTGATGTTGCAGAATATATGGTCCAGAAATGGACCACAGCATACATGAAAATTTAATATATATAATTTATCTCAACAAGAAAGGAAATTCTTTAATAACAAACATGTGGAAAAATATTTAACTTCATCCTTACAAGTAACCAAAGAAATGCACATTAAATAAGCAAAATACTAACTTTTGTATATCAAATTAGGTAACAATTTTTTAAATTATGATAATAATGATAAGACTGTGGTAAAACACAATCTACTACTTTCCAAAAGGATTGTCACCAGCAGTTTCACTATATGCTCTAAAAACCTTAATATGTTTAAGGTCTCTGATCTGCTCATTCTATTTCAGAGAATAAACTCCAAATATATAATATATGAAAAATTTTGTTCATGATGGCATTAATTAATAGGAAAAAACTAAAAACAACCTAAATGCTCGCTATATGAGAAGGCATATGTGAATTATGGTACTTTTATATAATGCAATATTAAATAGTTATAAAAAGTATTTATAGTAAATCCTTATGATAGACTCATACAGGCTTTAAAATATTGGGTTGGCCAAAAAGTTTGTTCAAGTTTTTCCGTAACATCTTAACAGAAAACCCAAGAAAGCTTTTTGGTCAACTCGATAGTTTGAAATGATGGTGTGTCCACATGATGGAACATTATGCAGCAATTAAATTATATTTTTGAAGACAATTTAAAAAAACTGATGCAGATAAAAGAAAATATAAATCACCCCAAATTCTATCACCCTAACCCAACCTTCCCCTTTCACCTACTCTTTGCTCTAATTCACATCTATCTGCTCAGGAATAACTATATCTACACTGCCCTCTTTCAGGAAGTGTTTCTGGTAAGCAACAGAGTATAGTGAAGACCATACACCGGCTCCCTGCACATAGTGAGAAGAGATAAAACACCAGGTGGTGATGTGTGATACACGGCCCCCTGTGACAGTGACTGAGGGCTGGCAGGACCATTTAGAAAGTACAGATACAGCAAGTTTATGAAAGCTACATCTGAGTGCAGATCTTAAAGATGAGAAAAGACAGTCATGTGAAAAGCCTTACAATTATTTCAATCAGAAAGAAAAGGCCTGGGTGAGGAAAAGAAAAAGGCCTCTGCCTGCAGTGAGCCAGGAAGAGAGTGCTAAGACACGGCATCCGAGGGGTCAGCAGAGGTGCGACCAGTACCTCCAGTGCGACCTCACTGGAGGCCTGGTGAGGAGGGTAGGGCTTGATTCCAAGAGCAACAGGAAGTCACTAATGGGTTTTAAGCAGCAAAATGTGACACAGTTTCCATTTCAAAAGATTTCTCTAACTGTTCCGAAGAGAATGATGGGTAGAAAGAAAACTCAGAATAGACACTGCTCCAGTGATCAAGGCAAAGGGATGCTGGAGCTGTGGCCTATGACGGTGGCAGCAGAGACTGGGTTAGGCGCTCAAGACATATTCCGGAGGTCAGACTTACAGACATGGTTACAGATGGGGTGTGAGAACTGATGACAGAGTAGAAGGTAGTGAAAGTGTTAGTCCCTCAGTTGTGTCCGACTCTTTGCAACCCCATGATTGTAGCCCACCAGGCTCCTCTGTCCATGGAATTCTTCAGGCAAGAATACAGGAGTGGGTAGCCAATCCCTTCTCCACGGGATCTTCCCAAACCAGAGACAGAACCCAGGTCTCCTGCACTGAAGGTAGATTCTTTACCCTCTGAGCCATTAGAGTAGAATAGGAAGACTTAATTTTTCACTTGAAAACTGGGTGGTTGATGGAATCATTTAACGAAATGGGGGAAGATCTAAAGAAGAATCAGTTCAGTTCAGTCGCTCAGTCCGACTCTTTGCGACCCCATGAACCTCAGCACGCCAGGCCTCCCTGTCCAACACCAACTCCCGGAGTCTACCCAAACCCATGTCCATTGAGTTGGTGATGCCATCCAACCATCTTGTCCTCTGTCCCCTTCTTCTCCTGCCCTCAGTCTTTCCCAGCATCAGCGTCTTTTCAAATGAGTCAGCTCTTCACATCAGGTGGCCAAAGTTTTGGAGTTTCAGCTTCAACATCAGTCCTTTCAATGAACACCCAGGACTGATCTCCTTTAGGATGGACTGGTTGGATCTCCTGGCAGTCCAAGGGACTCTCAAGAGTCTTCTCCAACATCACAGTTCAAAAGCATCAATTCTTCAGCACTCAGCCTTCCTTATAGTCCAACTCTTACATCCATACATGACCACTGGAAAAACCATAGCCGTGACTAGAAGGACCTTTGTTGACAAAGTAATATCTCTGCTTTTTAATATACTGTCTATGTTGGTCATAACTTTCCTTCCAAGGAGTAAGCATCTTTTAATTTCTTGGCTGTACTCACCATCTGCAGTGATTTTGGAGCCCCGAAAAATAAAGTCTGACACTGTTTCCACTTGTTTGCCATGAAGTGATAGGACCGGATGCCATGATCTTAGTTTTCTGAATGTTGAGTTTTAAGCCAACTTTTTCACTCTCCTCTTTTACTTTCATCAAGAGGCTTTTCAGTTCTTCTTCACTTTCTGCCATAAGGGTGGTGTCATCTACATATCTGAGGTTATTGATATTTCTCCTGGCAATCTTGATTCCCGCCTGTGCTTCTTCCAGCCCAGCATTTCTCATGATGTACTCTACATATAAGTTCAGTAAGTAGGGTGACAATATACATCCTTGACATACTCCTTGTCCTATTTGGAACCAGTCTGCTGTTCCATGTCCAATTCAGTGTGTACAAAAGAAAAGATTGCAAAAAAATTAAAATTCAATTATATCCAAATAGAACTCAAATTCAAGATACCTATTAAATCTTCATATGGAAATGTCAAATAGGCAGTTGGCTTTACAAGACTGAAGTTCAGCAGAGGTCAGCCTGAATATTATTTTGAGAATCACCTCGTTAAAGGAACAAGGCTTGATGAGAGTACCTAAAGAAAAGAATCTGGGATCTAACCTTGAGGATTCAAGGCTCAGTCAGAAGAAAAGTTTACAAAGGTCTGGTCAATGAGACAGGTGGAAAGAAATTCAAGAGAGAAGAGTTAGACAATCATATTTGCTCTCTCTGAACAAATAAATTTAAGATGATCTCCAAATAGTGATTGTCCCTTCATTTTTTTGTACATAAAACCATCAAATGAAAGGGTAAGTATAAGAACAGTAAGGTCTGCATGATCTAATAGGGTAAGCAGCAAAACTTCTCCAATTACCTTGCATGAGGTAAAGCAGTAGCAGCCAAACAAAGATTCTTAAAGAGGTAACTTGAATCCACCAACTGCTGAAGAGTGGAAAAAATACAACTCGAACAAGCCCCTTCCGAGTCAGAGATGTCCATGGAATTTCAGGTTTGGCTTTGGCAAATGTTGAGCCTTTAAATATACATAAAACAAAACATCAAACATTTTCATACACTAACGCCCACTTTGTAACACTACACTAAAAACAAGTGAGAGCAGAAATCAGCACATAACTTGTTCAGTTAAAAAGAATCCACTTAGATGTTCCAAACATATACTAACCTCTTGCCTCAGTCACTAGAACAGGAGCTCAAAATAAGTCAGCCTCCTTTGAATGATATACAATATATTTTTCTTCATTACACAGCAGCAGGTCTCCAAGTTCATCTCTCTTTCACCCTCATGGAAACCTTGCAATTTACATAGCCACATAGTATTAAGCAAAGGGGAAAGAATGCTAAAGCCTGAATGATGAGGGAAGAACACTACTTTTGGGAATTAAAGTATACCATGTAGAGATGATATCTAAGAGGAATCTTTAGCACTCCAAGGAAATAACATAATGATATACCTAAAAGAAACAAGCCAACTTTAGAACTCACCTCTGATTAAGTCAACATCAATCAAGTCTGCCTTTATGTGACCCATCTTTTTTGGTTTGTTTTTGAAGCCCTAGAATAAAACAAAACAAAAAACCAGAAATAAACAAAGTTTTAAGAATGGTACTGTTTGATTATTTTTAAAGATAATAAAAGTATATGCATGTGTTACTTGATAAAACTTAAACAAATATTAATGACAGATTCCTTTAAGGAGCATTAGGATTAAATGTACCCAGTAAAAGGGAGTCAGGAATAGAGAAAAAAGATGTAAGCTTAAGCTTACACATGCATATACTTTTATTATCTTTAAAAATAATCAAACAGTACCAAAAGGTCAGTAAGTGAAAAATAGGTAGTCCCCTAACCCACCTTACCCACTTCTCCCAATTTTATTCATTAAAAACAAATAGCTTTCGTCTTTTTTAGTGCTTTTCCTTGTCGTTTACTTACATAGGTCTAAATAATATGTTTATACTGCTATTTTTCAATTTACTGATTTTAGAAATGATCTATGCACTTCTAATATGAGAATTAAGCTCTTTTACACAGCACTAACTCCTACAACCTAACTTCCACCCAAAAACATTTATCTTCACAATACAGTCAATTAATTTTTGGCAAATCAGTAATCAGTTGTTTATGAATGATTCCTTGTGTGCTGTATTTTTCCATTTATTCTATGATGTCAGTGAAAATAATTTATCAGTTTCCAAATACTCAAATGCCAGAAAATTAATCAAAGTCTTTTTTTTCCCTAAAGAAAAAAAAAAAAATTCCTGGAAACCCCCTTCCCAGGACCCTCTATCTTGCTGCTACAATTGGACGAGTTGCTGTCTAGGCCTGCTGCACGTCTATCACCCCAGAACTTCTCACTCCCTGATAATCCCCTTCCCGTCTCTGGAGTGAGTCACTGTTTGCTCTATCCATGCTCTTGGGGCACATTCCTTTAGCAGCTTCCTGAGAAAAGGGGTCACAGAAGATCATGTTCTCAATCCTTTTATGTCTGAAAGTTTTACTTTACCCTTATATTTAATTAAAAGTTACACTAGAGGATTCCCCTGGTGGTCTAGTGGTTAGGAATCCACCTGCCAATGCAGGGGACATGGGTTCAACCCCTGGTCCGGAGAGAGTCCACATGCCATGGGGCAATTTAAGCCCTTGTGCCACAACTACTGAGCCCACACACCCTAGAGCCTCTGCTCTGCAACAAGAGAAGCCATAGCAATGAGAAGCCTGCACACAGCAATGAAGACCCAGTGCAGCCAAAATCAACAAAAATAAAATAAAGCTACATTAGGTGTAGAACTCAGCTGTTAATCATCTTCCCTCAGGAATTAAGACACTGTTCCATGGTTTTCCAGCTTCCAATGTTGCTGCTGCAAACCCCAATGCCATTCTGACTCCTGATTCTTTGAATGTACATTCTTTCCTCTTAATCCTCACTTTATCCATGGTGTTCGGAATGATGTCTTTTTTTTTTTTTTTTGACAGAAGTAACATTCATGATAAATCATGTACTTTATCACATAATGATATGCCTTGATATGAGTCTTTTATCATCTACTGTGCTGAGAATCCCTTCCATATAGAAATACATGTCTTTCAGTTTTAGGGACATTTTCTTATGATTTATATTTAAATTTCTTCTAAGACTTTTAACTTTTCTATTTTCTACCTCTTTTGTCTTTTTGTTCTGCTTTCTAAAAATTTCTTCAAATGCTTCTATTGAATTTTTCATTTTGGAGCAGAGACTGCCACCCTGGCCTGCCTGCCATGCCATCCACTGCACATGCTGGGGTGTCACTCCAGGACCTTGTTTCAGATAGGCAAGTTCCCCCATCCTTTGAGCCAGTGATGTCTCTGTCGGTGACTCCAAGCTCTTTGGTCTGGAAGCTGTGCCGAGCACAGATGTTGGAGGCCTACGGGGTGCAGCCCAATAGGGGAGTGTGAACTCAAAGGCAAAACTATCCTTCACTAGAGTCCTAATGAAGTCCAGACAGGACACAGTGGTGAGTAAGTGTGGTAGAGAGATGTGAATTGATTCCAGGGTTGGTCTGTTGTTGCTTTTGAAGCTAGACTTTGCCATATTTCACCATGGATTCACTGGAGGTTTAAGGAGAGGGTAGAAGCAAATGTTTCTGGTCTAGATAGCTAAAAACATTTATTAAAGTAGGGAGACCAAGGGTCCCACTTCTCACTGTTCACTGAACTCAGGGTGGGCAAGGAGTGAGTGGAGAAGCTGGAAGGAAACTTGAGGAGCCGTAGGAACTGCAGACACATTTATTCTCTCTGGGCTCGCGAAGCAGCCGTAACACAGCCATGCTGTGCTCTCTGACGGCTGACCCAACAGACACAGCCAACATGCAGCTGCAACGGCTTTTCAGGTGAGCTTACATAGGCACACAGAACAAAGGTGGCCCCGTGGCCAAGCCAGTATATCCCGATGCACATGCACAGTGCTATAACTGATCTCAGCTATTACATAACCACGTCAAGTCATTGTTTACAGAATGTGGGGTGAGAGGCCGTAGGGCAAGAGCACCTTCCACTGCCATCTTGGCCAACTGCTCTTTTCCTACATTCCATCCCTCACAATATATGCACAGTCCATCTTCCATGATATTCCCTTGGTGAGTTAATGCTGACCCTTGGATCCACATCCCACAACAGTAAAGGCTACAGCAAACAGCACTCATCACCCAGGATACAACCTGGAACTCATGTTACCTGCAAAAGCCTCCACAGGCATCAGGCCCATCCCTTCAAGGAGGGGATTTTTGTGCTGTTCACAGTTCACCCACATGATTACACTTTTAAAATCTGAGGACACATAGAGGACACAGCTTTTATAATACACTGTTTTAAATCTACATCACAGGACATAGCTTTTACAGTAAACACAACATCAACATAACAATTTCATTGATGCTGGATGCTTCCATTTCACCAAGTCTTCTGTAACCAACCCATGGCATATAGTTGGTCTATGCAGGTACCCTTGGGGAAGGACCTGGAACATCCACTGGCTTCCCTCCCAAGTGAATGCAAAGTGACACTGGCTCTCAGCTATTATAACTATAGAGAAAAAAGCATTAGTTGAGTCCACTACACAGTGGTAAGTGTCAAAGCGGCATGCATAGGTGGCCCCCCTTATTTAGTTCTCTGTGATCCACAGTCATTCCCCATGAGCATCAGGCTTCTGAACAGGCCACACGGGGGAGTTAAACGGACTGGACTATAAGCAGGTTGTACAGTGTCCACTTTTGCCAGCTCGGCAATGGTGGCGTCTGTTTCTTCATGGCCACCTGGTAGATGATACTGTCTCACAGCTGTCACCGTCCAAGGCGCTGGCAGTAACTGTGGGGGATCCTTTGTATAGTCCCTCACAACAGCCTTCACCACAGGCATTCAGAGAAGAAACTCCCCCACAGAGCTCTGTAACATTGAGACTTGCAGAACATCTATCCCCAAAATATATTCTAGGATCAGGGACACATACACAGTATACACTTGCACAGAGAGTCATCCAATGTCTAAAGGTAAGGACACAGCTTTTTACCTTAACCATTTGGCCGCCATAGGCATCAATGTGTGCACTACGACTGGAAACTGTTCTGGCTTGCCATAAACAAGCCTGCATTTAGCACTGGTGTCAACCAGGGCCATTACTCTCTGTATATTAGCCAGTGACCAGTGAATAGCCAGTTCCACATGGGGCCTCCCGTCCCCGCTTGGGCACTGTGGGTGGGCATGTTGGCCTGAGCCCTATTCAAAGTGGAAAAGGGCATCTGAAGGAGCACCCTTGGGCACCACAGAATATTTTAACTGAACTGTGCGTATCTCTTGCTGTGTATGCATCTCCCATTTGGTAAACTGCTGCTCGGGTCTCAGTTGCTTCCACACCTCTAGGCGTATGTGCTAAGTCAATTCAGTCGTGTCCAGTTCTTTGCAACCCTATGGACTGTAGCCCACCAGGCTTCTCTGTCCATGTTCTCCAGGCAAGAATACCGGAGTGGGTTGCCATGCTCTCCTCCAGGTGGTGTTCCTGACTCAGGGATCGGACCTGTGTCTCTTACATCTCCTGCACTGGCAGGCAGGTTCTTTACCACTAGCACCACCTGGGAAGCCCCTCTAGGAGTATAGCATTGGGCTGTTTATCAATTTTTATTTCTGTCAATTCCACTGCTAGTAAATCGGCCCACATCTGCATTTACATCACCTGGACAGGGTCTTTACCAGATCAGTCCCCCTTCGGGATCTTCACACTCCTAAAACCTTTGGCCTGTCACCACCCTCTATTTCTCCCAAGGTAGCCACCATCAAGGTGGCCTCATAGATGGGGTGTCCCACATAGGGTGCAGAATAACAGTCAGAGATCCAAAAGAGGTGAGTGAGGCATTGTTCAAAATAGCATCTCACACGCTACCTATAAAACGCTTATCATCTGAGCCCCAGGTATTTAGGTTAAACATCAACTGCTTCATGCCCAGTTCTCTCATCACTTGAGTCAGTATCTGGGAGCTCTTACATGTTCGCCCACATTGTGTGGATGGCAGCATTAGATCCACTCTAACAGGGTGGATCCACTCTATCAGGGTGTGTTTGGTTAGATGCACAAGCACTCTGCAACCTTTGTCTCAACAAGAGGTGAGTAGTTATAGATGCTAACTGCTCTATCTCATCCCCGGAACAAATGATACCATCCACCCCTGCATCCCAGATTTGCAAAAGCCATGCTGCCAAGGGTTCCCCTTCTTTTGCTGAAACTGCTTACCCAAGTTGACCAACTCCATCTGAGTATATGGTCGATATGTTGTGAATTCAGTCACACTGGGGGCCCCTTGAGGCTGTCCCCCCACCCAGGCCATAGGTTGCTCATTCTTAACTTTCTACTGTACAACAGGCCTTGTTGACAAGCGGGGATCTGTGGTCTCGATGTTCATCATCATCCAAGCTCCTTCCCCAGCAACTACGCTCGGCATCTCAGTATCAAGCCCCCATAGCTTTGAACTGTGTCTGTGAGCATCTGTACTGTATCTCAGTGTATTTTATGCATCTGATGGCAAGATA